CATCCCAGCCACTTGGGAGGCTGAGGCAGGAGGACTGCTTGAGCCCAAGAGTTTGAAGTTGCTGTGAGCTGATGATGACATCATGGCACTCTACCCAAGGTGGGAGAGTGAAACTCTGTCTCAAAAAACAGAAAAAGACAATCTATGGGATAGACTGTAGTCACAAAAAAAGAAAAGAAAAGAAAAACATAAAAAAATGATACCCCAGATAAACTCTATTAACAGAAAGCTGGTGCAGCTAGGTTGATAACAGATTAAATAGATTGTAAAGTTAAAACTTATTGTTAGTGATAAAGTGAATTAAACTTATTGATATAAAATTTATTTCATAGAAAGATTTAACAATTCCAGACTTGCAAATACCCACTAACAGAGCAAAAATTACAATGACAAGGAGAAATTGACTTATCTGTGATTATAATGAGAGATTTTAACACTCCTCTCTGTGATTTATAGTTTGAAAACAAACAAAAAATCAATAAGATTATCAATAATTTGGGCAACACAAGTAATTATCAATTTACATAGAACTCTGTACCATTCAATTTAGGGAAATATTCTTTTCAAGCATCTAAGATATATTTTACAAAAATTGCCACATTCTAGTACATAAAGCAAGTCTAAACAAAGTTCAAAGAATTGGCATTTATACAGATCACATTCTCTCGCAAAAAGCAATGAAGTTGATCAGTAACAAAAAAAACTATAGGTTTGAAAATCAAAGCATATCATCTAAGTAATTCATGGCAAGTCAAAGGAAAACAGATGATCTGAGGCTCTAAACCAGCGGTTCTCAAACTGTGGGTTGTGACCCCTTTGTAACAATGAAAATACATCCTGCATATCAGATATTTACATTACGATTCATAATAGTAGCAAAATTACAGTTATCAAGTAGCAATGAAAATAATTTTATAGTTGGGGGGGTCACCACAACATGAGGAACTGTATTAAAGGGTCGTGGCATTAGGAGGCATTAGGAAGATTGAGAACCACTGCTCTAAACTTTCATGAAATAGAATAGCTGGTGAAAAGTGTGATGGTGGGATAATCAAATCACCTTAAAGAAAGTCTAATGCTGAATTTGAAGCTGCTATGACTTTTTTAGCCTTCTTTGGGTAAAGAAGACCCCACTTACCTCATGCTCACATGCATATATCAGTCCTGATTGGCTTTGCTTGGGTCAAGTACCCACACTTGAACCAGTCACCTATGGATAGTGAGATGGAGGTCCCCTGACTAGCCTGTGCTAGGCCCTACCTTGGGGAAAATGGAAATAGAGGTGGAGGTATTTTGACTTCTAGGACCTCCAAAATCATATGGGGTTGGAATACTCTAAATGCCCCCGCCCAGCATAAAACAGAGACTATATAAACAAAAACTCAAAAACCCAAATCACTTCTAGTTGCTAGATCCAGTCCCAAGCCCAGAGTCTCTGGGTGATGTGTTTTCCTCTTTCATCAGGTTCCAAAACAACCTTTGAGGGATTTGGCAACCTATAGCTAAAAGACAAGTTTAACTACCATCACTGACCCCCCTCTACATACCCAGGTCCCCGTGATAAAGGGAAAGCAGAAACACTGCAATAAAATCTCTCATTGGTATACTACATGCTCTCCAGGACAGGAACCGGGACAGCCCAGGGCAGGGCAGTCATCCCTCGGTCAGCCAACCCAGGTGCCCCCTACCCTCTTCTTATGGCAAGGACACTCCCCATCTAGGGTTTTCCATGGCCTTTTCTGAGAAGTATGTGTGGAAGCAGCTTCCCACGGGGGTGGGAGAGTGGAGGAGAACATAATTTCAGGGCCTGGAACTTGCCCTGGGGGGTTGAGTAATCACAGAGCAATGCTTGCCAAGCTGGAGTTCTCTGAAAATATCATTTTCCCCATAATCCTTGTGGGAAGCTGTTCTATTTGATTTTTTGTTAACTAGTAACTAACACCAGAAATCTATTCCTGGTCATGGTCCTTGAATTGAACTTGTCCTTGAAGTTTCTGATTCTTAACAATAAGCACTGCCCCTTTGGCCTTGTGCTCAAATCAAGGGCTTCCTCTGGGCTTGAAATGAGGAACAAAACTAACTGGGCCTCTGCCTCCAGCCTGCACTCCAGAGCATGTTGAAAAAGAGCAATTAGCAGCTCTGGCTACAGGTTCAGGGGTCCTCAAACTTTTTTAACAGAGGGCCAGTTCACTGTCCCTCAGACTGTTGGAGGGCCGGACTGTGGGCCCCGGGACAAGTCGGCTGCTAAGCAGGACAGGCAGCGTGGCAAAAACACCAAGCTAAATGTCCTAGGCAGGCTGCATGTGGCCCACGGGCCGTAGTTTGAGGACACCTGAGTAGATCCAAGGGTGTCTCCAGCTGTAGTACACTAAGAGCTAGATCTTGGTGCTCAGATGATACCGTCAAGGCTCTGTCTCTTTTCCCATTTCTCAGCTCTGTGTGCCTCTGCTTGGCATCATGCCAAGTGAGGCTGTTTCCATATGATGGGCAAGAAGAGTGCCTAGGAGCCTCAGGTTCATACCCTTTCAACTTAGCAAACATATCGATGTTTGCCACAGCACATTCTCTAAGTGGCCCACCTGGAGTTACACAGTCATCCTGTGGCCAGGTGAGTGAGGCACTCTCGCCAGCTTGAGTCAGATACCCACCCTGTGATGAGGGTCAGAAGTGGAGCATGCGCACTCTGACTAGCAGCTCTGTAGGGACAATATGGACAGGGACAGCATGCTTCAAAGCAAGGGCTACTAGACAGACAAGCAAGAAAGGTCCACTCTATAGGGGCAGGAGGAATGAAGGCAGAAAGCAGGATTGGGCATGGAGACTAGGTCTGCATAAGTCCCTGAACATTTTTTATTTATTATTATTATTATTTTTTTTTTTTTTACAGTTTTTGGTCAGGGCTCAGTTTGAACCTGCTACCTCTGGTATATGGGGCTGGCGCCCTATTCCTTTGAGCCACAGGCGCTGCCCCCTGAACATTTTTTACAAAGTACTTCCAATATACTGTTTGCTGATGATGGAACCCAAGAAGGAAACATGATCACTGCTGTGAGCCGAATGCTGGCTGAGGTTTCCAGGCCCAAGGGAGATCCTAAGCATGCCCAAGGTCTCTTCACTTCCCTAAAGGCTTAGTTTCTCAGGGTTCTTGACCCCACAAAGACTACCTCTGTCCATATTGCATGGCTTCCAGATATAACATTTAGCCTTTTCTTTGATTTCCACAAAGGATTCGACTCACATAAAGAAGTTAGTGAAGATTTTAATGGGAAGTCAAGCTTGGGGAAATAGAGGGTCATCTTCAAATGCCTTTTGGCCCTCTGCCACTGGCCTTTGCCCCATTCACCATCTTACAGGCATCTTTTCCCATCTTCTCTTAACTTCTCCAAATTTTCTCTCCTCCCTCTCAGGTCAAATCTCCCTTTTTATCTCAGGTAGAATAGTCTATCCCTCATCTTGAGTTGCTTGGCCTACACAAGCATCTAGTGCTTGGGTTCCTACTCTCCCTTCACAGATTATCAAAATGTTTTCTCAGACAAGACTATTTACTGCCCAAGAAGAATTCCACTACAAGTAATCAAGATCATAAAATGACCCCTCCTTTTAGCAATGTTCCAGAGATGAAAACAATATTAATGTTAGAAAAATGTCCCCCTGGGATCCTCATGCAAGGGAAGCTGAGTCGCATGTGAGACACCCACCACAACATGCTCATGATAAACCAAACCACCTCAAACACTCAGCCAAGGGCCTGGCACCCAAGGGCAATGACCACAAATGGAAAACTTCCAGGAAAGTCAGAGTTCCAAGGGCACAGACATTGATGGTCTGACTCAGTCAAAAATCTAAAGGAAGAGATACACTAAATTCTCCCCAGGCCATTTTCTGTGAATATCATTTCTCCTGGGGTTGAGATTTGGATTGGCAGCACCAGTTTCAATTAATAAGCCTTGCAAGGGCATAGTCCACAGACATTACTGTTACAGATTAGAGCAGATGTGTATAGCTGTAAAGTCAAACATGTGAAAGGAAAGGCAAATTTTTCCATATAAGAAAATTGAGGCTCAGCTTGGTTGAATAAGGTCAAGGTCAGGGCTGTAGAGGAATGGACACCATGCTTACAAAGGACAGTTACTGATTCTTAACACATTAAAAGGAAATGCTGAGAAAAGGACAGTCTCCTGGCAAGCCTAGAGACATTTTGTGACTTGGGAGCAGTCCCCCAAGTAACTCAGTGTTCTGGAATGAGATTAGATTGGTCACTCACTAGTAAGCATGTGTTAAACACTGATGCTTGGTACTTCTTCAGGGGGGTTGTGGGGAAAGAACACGTGAGGAAAGAGCACGTGGCGATCCTTACCCATACAGCCCTCATATGTAATTACCTTAACTTTCCACACCTGTTGTGTATAACCTTAATAAATAGCTGTTTTGGAGGGGTCTCTGGGCTACCCTGCACTTAAGGTTGGCCCGCCTCCTGCAAGCTTGTACTTTTTTTTTTTTTTTGGAGACAGAGCCTCAAGCT